AAGAATAACATGAAATTCTTGCATACCTTAGATATCACAGTAATAATTTAAATTTATTTTAGCATTTTCCATACTTCAGTAGAAACGTAACCTGGAAATTGGTTTAAAAGAAAACTAGCTGGAAGTGAAAATATGACAAATGGGAAGGAATGAAAGGAGGAAAGATAGAAAAAATATTTAGGCGATGATTGAATAGAAATTGAGAGAACGTTCGAAACTGGATCAGGTGTGTAAGAAGGCTGAGTTCATGTCAAAGAATCCGAAAACAGGCAGAATGCCCCCCAACGAAAGAGATCATGCAACGGTTTTCTTCGGAGTTCTGGCCTTTCATATGCCTGAAGAGAGGTACAAAACCATTCAATAACATATTCGGAAGCAAAAATGGTGATAATACATTATATGGTGATTCTGTGTTATATACATTCCAAGTAATGAAGTTCTGATTTCTTGACATCTGGTATTTCCCACAACGCAAGGTAAGAGTTGCAAATATAGCCAATGCAGGTAATATGGCCTAGTAGCGGCTATGTTGTTAGCTACAATTTTTAACATAGTACTAGCATGCTGCCTGGAAGAGCGTTAGCCTACTATCAGGCTTGTTGACACGCGATTTCGCATTCCAGAGCTTGTTGTCCAGAACGTGCTGATGGCTCCGTCGTTTCTGAAATTTAATCTACACGTACATTAAATTTAATGTACGTACATGATAATTACTTTCACATACTCTTATATTAAAAGTAATGCAGAAATTTCTGACAGTGTAATTCATATATATGTATATATCTTAGTATAGCTAGCCCTAATTCCATCAGGTAATGCTAAACGAAATCAGTTAATCTGGCAATGCATGTGGGCATATTACCTTCAAATTATAACGTTTTATTTAAACAAAAAGAAAATATTCCTGAATCACTTTTTATAAATATTTCAACCTGAAGCAAATGTTAAATTTCATCATAATACTGTTAATTTGGCCAAATGTTGAAACATATAACCAGGAAAATTGGAGGCGCTTAACGTTGCCATATTACTTTCGCATACCTTGCATTTCTTTACAATAATTAGTTCAAATATTCGCAGATTTTTAAGCCAATCAAGGCATTAATGAAAAGAAGCCACCTTTTGCTCATCATGTTCGAACACACGCGGCAACTACAAAGACATTCACAAGAAAACCTGTCGGTGCATTTTAAATGTTTTAAAATGATGTTCTTTTAGCACTTGTCTTACTAGATGCGTCTTATTGTCATTTCCCGAACACCAGCGGGTTTTAAAAATCCCCTGAAAAAGTGAGATACAGGCACCAGCTCGTATCGCCGCTGATAAACTGGAATATAATGCAATATAATATTATACAATATTAAACATTGTAGCTAAGCGACATTTTAACAATTTTGGCTGAATTAACGTTTTTATTTCAAGGACCAACCCTTTAGCACGAGCTTTGCACAGCGATTCTAATAAAAACAATTCTTAAAACCTACAAAGTAGAGCATATTAATATTAGAAAATAAAATTACTTATCATGTCATATTTTTCAAAACTGAAATTTATTTCTTTAAGAAAAATATTTCTTTCAACTTGACAAAAAATTAATTTGAGCTTCTGATAGTGACGTATCACAGATTGAAAGTCTCATCTAAGTCTGTTCTAGGAAAAACTTCTTCTCATCCCTTATTTCGCATTAGGCAACATTGGAATTCGGTTCACACCCGCTGCGCGCCACCTGCTGACATCTCGAAGTAGTCTTGCGCGGTGAGAGCTCAACTACTGAGAAACCCATAGGGAGAAATATCAGAACAATTCAGACAGCAAGATTCGAGACACTTTTTTAGAAACTACGGCACTATTTCTGAAATGGGCTCAAAATTATTTTTTTTGCTCAAACGATTTAGAAAACTAAATTAAGCCAAAGAGAATATATATGTTTTATTTTGATTTAGAAATTGTAATACGGAAACATTTACTGCAAGGTTTGCGTAAAACAGGTTAATTCGAAACTTCGACACTTGAGCATAATAACTCTTATCTTTGACTAATGATGTTTGCGTGGTAGGGAATGAAAATGAACTCTAATAGGGTTATGAAATGATCCTACAACATATGTTTAGCAATATATTGCAATTTTTCTAACAACTGAGTGCATGTCCCTGGCTGCATTGGTTAATAGCGATCGTACGAACGCGATGTACGCGTGCGATGGTGTGTGTGTGTGTGTGTGTGTGTGTGTGTGTGTACTTGTGTTTCGTGGAACCTTTACTAAAATTACAGGTCTCGGGTGTAAGGTTAAAACCGAGAATACCTGTGAACGGGAGGGGTTCGGAAGAAGAGCAGGTAATCGGATTCTCTGTCTTTTCCGAAGTTGCAACACGAACAGCCTGCCCCAGACTACATCACCGTGGGAGATGTAAAAATAAGTTAACAGTTCGTTAGACTGAGCAAGAAAACCCAAAATTATTGTGGAGAGAAAAGCAAAACGCATTTGCATTACATTATCTACATGGCCCTAGTCAATGTGGTATATCCTTCACGATAGTCACATATTCCCATGTTCAGTTCAACCTGTCCACCCTAAACACGACAGTCTGCGACCACAACCTGGCGGGTAGAACTGTCAAGTAGAAAATCCGTCCACTTCCGATTTTCTCTGGGACTCATTGTGACCGAAATGCTGAAGCGCCCTCTCGCAGACAAATAAAGCTCCCCTGCTCCGAACAACGACGAGCAACGGATGGGTCGGGCAAGTGGAGAGCGCCGCTAAAATGAAAATATGGGACGCGGTGGCTCTACCACGTAAGATTTTCGAACGAAAATACAATAAACCAAACTTATTAAATTTCTTTTATATTTTAAAAGTTATAATACAATACGACAATTTGAAGTACAGAGAGCCCTGAGGATACCTGCTCTTAAGATGTTAAAAAAAGATGATCTTGTTATTTGTAATAAGATCTGAAAGACAGTATGGCGAAAAACAAGGAGTAATAAAAAGGCAAGACTGGAAAATCAAACCAGCAAAACTGTGTGTGAGCGTTTTTCGATACGTCATAACACGAGACTTGCAAACACGGACGGGTAAAAATGTCATGTATCCCGAACGTGGGTGGGCCCCGTAATATTTATCCAGTTTCCCTCGAATTGCTAAATTTTGAACCAGGTAATTAGAACAATTTGTCTACAGCATGCTGATTAACATTTGTTTTACACACTTTCCAAACAGATTCAGAGGAATCTTCACATTTCACTGCCATGACGGTTCTACTAAATAAAACTATTCTCAAAATGCATACCAAGCGGTCCTTTGGAGTTGCGCCAAAGAACGTCTTTAATGGTTCCGGAAAAACTATTTCGGAAGAAAATAAGAGCTGGTAAAACCGAGCACGCTAACAAATGGTACGATAAAATCTCGAGGTCCACTTTTTGAAACTTCATGCATTAAATATATAATGGTTCGTTCATAAATGAAAGATTTTTACAATTAAGTTTACTTATTTGAAATCGTCCTCCATTTTGTCTATTGAGGGAAGAATTAACATGAACGATTTGAGGTAATTGATTCAAAATGAATTATTGCAATAGACATTTTAAAACTGATAAAACAATGTTGAATAATGCAAAATATGCAGAGATCTGTAAATATATATCAAGAAGTATACAAGAGGTATTGTTTTCGTATTCAATAATTTTATTACAAATCTCTGCGAAAAAGATTTGTCTAACAAAATCGAAAGTAATCTCATTCAATGACATGTTATGAATAAAAATGTTATGAAGACATGTTTTACATTACAATGTGTACATCACAATCCAAATGTTTCCTGAACAAAAAATCCGAAAATATGGCAATTTAATTATTAATATTAATACGTTAGTATGATGCCACAAAAATATACAGCTAACCGTATCATCCCAACAAAACCCTGAATTTGGAATAAAGAATACGCGATATTTTTGAATTGATGGTATTGAGGAAGATATTTGAATGTATGGTAGTAGTTACACATGAGCAATGTAAAAATAAATTATCGTGTAGATCTTGATTATGACCACACATATTATAAGTTTCAATACATACGGTTTTTAAATTACATCTTCATTCAATCTATATACCAGATGTGTAAGCATATTTGGTCAGTTTCATGCAGTATTTCCTATAGTTCCCAGCTGTGTTTTTTGCATTTTAACTCATTAGGTGATTCGCCATTTGTTCCCGGTCCCTTACATTTCTTTGATTTAAAACGTACCATCACTTCCGATACACACTCCACGCGCTCTAGAATCCTCTCATTTTCACGGGCACAGCAAGGGAGGGCATAAAAAATGCACGACAAACCCCGAGACCAGCGCCCAATCGGGCGAGGTCGTCTTCCCAAGGGTCGCGAGAAGCGGCAGCTGTAAGCACGGCGGGCGGGCGAGGGGGGGGGAGCCGAGAGGGTGCTGGAGAGGGGTCGGGACGAGTGTGGAAGTAGGGAAGGCTCGAACCCCGCCTCGTCAGACTCTTCCAGATCGCCGCGATTCCGCACGGCCGGCGCGCCGCCGGGGATCGGCAACGCGCCAAGCCACCCGGAGACCTTGAGCCGCTCGGAGGCGGTGGCGGGCGGCGGGGGTGGCGGCGTACGCCGCCGAAAGGGAAGATGGCTCCGCACTTTCCCCTTCGGCTAGGGGTGAGCGGTCGCGCCGCGCCGGGGCCGGCCGGCCAGAGCGCGTGCGCACGCGGGCGGCGGCGAGGCGCTTGGCTGAACGTCGCCTCCACCGCCGCCGCTGCGGCCATGCCGCCCCCCGCGCGACCCACCGCCTCCGCCACCAGGAGCGCGAGCCAGGGCGCCCCGGGTCCCAGCGACCGCACCCCGTCCCGAAACGGGAAGACCCTAACCCCCCGGGTGGGTGCCGCGCCAACAGCTGCCGGGCCGTGGCCCGTTGCGACCACGTGCGCGCTTGCCAGGCGCACAAAGCAGGCCACCCGGCCGCCCCTCCCGTGTTTTGTTCAGAGCAACACTCACCTATGCCGCATAATATCAGCAAAGCCGCGCAACTCTGCCACAATATCTTCATGGTGGAGCTCAGGCGGCGCGCGTCTTCATAAACACAAGCTTGACGCACCACTGTCAGACACACAGCACTCAACGCTACCGACACTGCGCGCACTATCCTGGGTAATCTGCGAAAAGACACAAGCAGAGGCAGTGTTCAGAGCCGGAGAGCCGCGGGAGCTCGGCCGGGGTCACCGCGGGCGCAGTTCAGTCACATTCGCACGCACACACACGCGCGCACGCTCGCATTCACACGCAGCGAAAGGGCAGGTGGGCGGGCGGAAGGGTTGGGAAGCGGAGCGAAAGGGCGAAGGGTGGCGAGGACGCCGCAGTCGTTCCAAGGGAGAGGCGAGGGAGCGCGCCAACCCCTAAGAGGAAACCAGAAACGCGATTTCCCGTGTCAATCGCAACTCCTTCCCCCTCGGCGCCGTTCGAGTAATGTTGCGCTAATACGCGCGGCCTTTGCGGGGGCGGCGCGGGGGCGGCAGGGCCGAGGGCAGCGAAGCCGCTCGCGGGGGCGCAAGCCCCCCCTCGCAAAGGGGCCCGAAGACCCCCCTCGCGAGGCCGTCGCTGCCCCCAGCGACATGCCAGCACCGTGCCACCCCCGCATCGCTCAACCCTCGCGCACCAAACACTCGGCTGCACGCCCGGAAAACCCATCGCACCACGCACCAAAGCTCCAACACAACACCTGCTTTTTACAACAACTTCCAGCAAGTACGGTGCCCAAATTTCTTATTCCTTTTTTACGATACTTGCGATTCTCTCCGAGTGAATGCATAACAACCAGTGGCACACCATAAGACAATTTGGGACCCCACCTCTTAAATCATTTTTGAGGCCCCGCATTGTCCCTTTAACTTGCCTTTTAAGACTACCGCAAAACAAAAGCACCGCGAACGTGAAAATGTCGCAGCGCCGCGAACGCGCTCCTACAGGAACACGGAGCTATTCACCTGGTCAGTCTCTCACAGCGGCGGGATAGGAGCACACGCACCACAGTCAGCCACACCGCGCCGCGGGAGCGTATTGACTGATGCCGGCCCGGCGTACTGTCGCCTCTCAGCCGCTGAGAAGCCGATGGGCGCCGCGGGGCGAGAGGGGGAAGGCGCGCACGCGTCTTGGTTTCTTAATCCGCCGAACGAGCGCTAACTCCGCGCGGCGAGACGCCTGCTATCTGTTGGCGAATTCCTAAGCTTGCAGTGCAGGCTGACGACGCCGCGTCAGGTCGTGGCGCTGGCTGCCCCGCGCGCTAGGGAGTCGGGGGTGGATACGTTCACGTTCGGGGAAGCTGAGGGGGTTGGTGTGACGTACTCCCTCCATTCATGATTTCCTAACATATGACGTAATAGATGTTCGCTCTGAAATAATTGAATTAATCTGAATTTAATGAATTTAATCTGACTTTACTCGCGTGCTTCTATATATCCCAAATTTACTTTCCTTCTCAAGTATCCCGTAGGGTTTCGTTACACAATAACATTGCGAGTATTGACGCCATTTTGAAGAAAAGTAATCACTCAATACGGATGATGTGAAGAAATCATCCCTCGATTGTGTCTTGAACGAAAGAAGTACAGTCGTATCCAGTTATACTGAACTTATGGGGACTATCAGGTTTGGTTCACTATTTCATAGGTTCACTACATTCGATGATGTCAAAATTAAATTTTCCACAATGATTGATTTTATTGATATAGAGAAAAAGCAAAATGCATTAACAGCACGAACGGAAAATTTCAATATCTTCAATTGTCCATAAATCTATTTTTTAAAATTGTTTGCTACGTATACATTTCATTAGTAATTTCTGTAGATTCTTCTCCAGAGTTCGTTTTCTCCACACTTGATTATGCATTCTCCTCTGTCTGTAATTGTAAATATCGAAATGCGGAATTGAACCTGTCATTGCCTCTTGCACTGCTGGAGCATTGTCCCACTCTCCGAAGGCCCGTCAACTAACGTAATAAAATAGGAGATCCAATTAATTTCCAGAACTTCCTTGTATTTCCCACGTTCACTATAGTCGAGGTACAGATTCACTATAACCGAATCTTCTCATGTTTATTTGTAATGTAAGAGAAACGGGGCCAGTGACTTAAGTATACTGTAACCGCGGGTTCACTATATCCAAGTTTGCTTCAACTGGAGTCGACTGTATTACTAAAACGTGAAAATGGTTTCTGTTTAATTTTAAAGTAGAAATTAAAAACAAAAACTTAAATGACTCCTACTTTAAATTAATGTATTAATCATTCATATTATGTACAAATTATTATACATTTGTTGTACCTATGTTCCCGGAATAAAAATGCTCTGAAAATGAGTATTGTGTGTGGTGAATCTTCCGACCTCGTTCTTCAGAGACACGCATTTTGGTTCAATAAAGCAATTCTCCAAAATGATCCTAGGTCATTTAATTAATTTTTCATGACATGAGACATTAGAATGTTGAACTCTCTTGAATAGTTCAAAGGGATACCAGACCATTGAAAAGAAAAGTGAAAATGAAAATGAACGGTTTGCCATTGACTGATGTTAAGGTAACAAAAGGTTTAGGTCTTTCAATTCAGTCAAATTTAAATGGAACGTTCATTTAAATGAATTGAACACTAAATTAAGTTCTTTATGCTACGCTTTGAGAATTCTTTCAAATTCATTCCACACTGCTCGTTGTGTATATTTCGCGAATGCTCATTCCCGCCTGAGATATGGCATAATATTCGGGGGAAATGCATCTTATAGTTCCCAGACTTTTAGACTACCAAAACGAACTGTACGAATAATAAGTAAATCCCACCCACGTGGTTCTTGTAAGCCTCTCTTTATTCATCTATGTATTTTACCATTACCTTGTCTCTACATATATGAATCAGAGGTTTTTGTAAAAAAAGTACTTACTTAAGGGCGGGAATATATTTTCAGGAAACGCCGTTGTCTATAACTACAACACTCGACGTAGTAATCATATTCATCAGGTGACAGTATCAACAGCTCACTACAACAAATTCACATATAAACTATGTACAATATTTTACAACATCTTGCCAGATGACATTAAACGATTAAATTCGATACAAACGTTTAAGTCCCAAGTAAAATATTTTCTGCTGCATAACTGTTTCTATACAATTAGAGACTATACCAAGAATCCAAAAGGAAAGTAATATTAATTTTATCAATGACATTTAATGTATTTTATACCATTTCGATTGTATAATTGTAAAGAACCTGTAAGAAGTATTGTAATTCAGCTTCTGAGTCAATGATCCCCATCTTGATCAGGTTTTCGTCCAGTTGCGCTGATCCTCGAGCAAATGCTGAGATAGCCCCTTGTTTTGCTTCTGGACATACATGTAACTTCAAATTAATTTCTCCCCATAGCACGTCACACACAATTTTTATCTGTTTTTGACGTAAATAAATAAAGTCCCTTCCCGTATCAATAACATCCTTATCCTTTCCGTACTTGTTACTAGGAAATGGGTTTGGTGTGTTTGCAAGTGTTGTACGATGTATGATTGGGACATTTTGCATCTACGAAATAACCATTTGCAAGTAGCACACCCAAGGGGGTGGATGGTTATGAGGCCTCCCCCTCCCCGAAGCCTGAAACACATTCTCAATTGCAGTTTTTACTAATTTTCTGTAGAAACGAGTGTCATTCTATTTCTCAGTTGAATACATTTTAAATAATAATAAATCTACTAATAAAGAAAAAAAGTAAATTCAGCATAAATGAAAAATTCTTAATAAGAAAATATGAAGTCGGCTAAACATTACTACAGAGGTGTAACCCGTCCTCCACCAACAGAAAAATATTAACGGACAGTACTTATTGAGTGTACACATAATATTTGCATCAGAAAAGGGAAAATAATATAAATATAAAATCTTCACGGAGTTTTCAGAAAATCCGCAAGAACTTGTGATAGATTAACATTTTGATTCTTCAATTACATTATATCAATCGTTTTGTGTAAACTAAACCATTAAAGTAGCCAGCACCGCTAGCCGAATTCCTTATCTACGCATCTACCTTATCTACCTTATCTACGCAACGTGAAGTCACGGAAGTTAAGCAAGTCGAGTCATCCCGGGTTCTGGTTGGGTGATGGTCTGGGGACCTCTGGATCTAACGGCGCCGAGCTCCTGGCGGAAGGGATAAAAGGTAATGAATGAGTACGATTGACTAAAATTAAAGGAGTATTACTCCAAAACGTTTCCTGCCGAGTATGAAACACAACGTTGTTACGAATTGCTTCAAAACTAAAATAAATTGCCCTTGGCCAACCTCCTGATCCAGCCTAAATAATGGCTACGCCTATGCCAGACAATATGTGCACGAGTTGTGTGAAAACAAATGAAAAAAAAACAACTTAAAAACTTGATTGTGGGATTGAACGGTGTTCCACGAGCGGTATCTTGAGATAAGTTCCAGTCACACAGGGCAGGGAACCCCTTAACACTGGACCAATCACTGCGCGCGTTCCTCTCTCCCGCACCCTCGACCAACAACTTACCCTTGCAGCAAACGTAAGCTGAACACTATTCCCATAAATTTTATTCATGAGAAACTCTTCCTAAGTTGGTAAAAAATCGTATTTTTTCTGGTACGTCATAGCTTGTTATTGCTTCTATAAGGAGCTCCGTGTACATTGCATATCGATGAGGTTTTTGTCCCGTTTCCCTGATACATAAAGCTAATGCTGAGGTAGCTCCTTGTTTTGCTTCTGGGCGTAAATGACCTCTAGATGTAATCTTGATCATTAGAATGAGATGAAAAAATCATTAAAGGAGTGAACTGTTGATTATATTTTCCCAACAAAATTGCAACTTCTTTGAAATTATTCAAGATTATTTTTTTTCGTTATCGTCTGGATTCATTGTATTAGTATGAAGTTCAATAAATATACTTTTTCCAATTTGTTTACCATTCGTTCTTTTCTCTTGAGGTCAACTTAGGAGCCTAAGAATTTAAATTAGACTACCACATTTTGACCGATCCACTCTTTAATTTTTATTATCTTTATCAGAAACAATGTAAACAAAATATTATATTTTCTAATAAATGTACATAAATTATAATTTTTTGGTAAATATTTTGTTTTAATTGAATCTTTACTGAGAGCATGGTAATGGATTTTTTTAAAAATGGTGTAAATTACGCAATTTCCCTTTCTGTATATCCTAGCACTGGTGACGTACGGCGTTGCTAGACAATATCAATAAGCTAGAAACTAATGGAAGACAACCTAGAAATGCAGAAAGTGGTATTTCTTCCGACAACAAATACTGTCAGTACAGTATTAAATTTCTCGGTTTAGCACTTGCCAGTTGGCTTTTGAGCAGCGTTATATTTCTCAACTTGTTTTACTAGAGGCAGGAAAAAGCATTCGCTTTCATGATAGCTGGGAATCTGGACGAAAAGTACAGTAAAGAGGGGGGTTCTGCAACCATGAACAATTATTATAAAATTAATCAATTGTTAGTTTCATCTACATTATTAGTAATTGCATGTTCGAATACATTTTACGAAGATATTGTAACTACTTTAAGAGAAATATTAAATTTCGTGAATGATTTATAAGTAAAGGGATCAATATTTAAATATAAAATTATCATTAAAAATAATGAACACAAAATATATTTCAGATTTCAATTTACAAAAGAACAAGACAAATAAATTAAAGATTCTACATGCATGTCAATCATGTCAAAAATTAGTATTTAGTTTGTATATTTGAAGTTAGTTCCTGATAATATGAAAAAAGAAACAATGATGTAGCAAAACAGTCTTCCTCATTTTCTATCTTGATACAATTAAACTAAGTTTCTAATATTTTCGGATGTAGTAATATAAAAAATAATTTAATTTCTATGGCATCCTGTTGACAACAAAATAAGATGAATGTAGTATGACGTCGTGTATTGTCCATATCACAAATTGGGCAATTCGTAAGGTTTTATCGGCAGGGCATTCTGGACCGCCAAATGTCTCAGTTGCTCATCTCATACCCCTCCTCTTCCCCTCACACTATCACGGACATCTCGTCGCATCCCCGTCTGCGAATTTCCAGAAGTGAGCTCGAAGTAGCTGAGCTAGCGTCGGCAGCCGAATTGAAT